GGAGGAATCTCCTTTCCCCATTTAATAGCTTAATCACCCCATTTTGGGAATCTCTGTCTTGAGTTTATCCTCCATTCTTCTACCTCCTATCAATCTCAATAAAAGAACAAACTAGGTAACTCTCAAGTTTTCAAAGTTTTGTTTTTGAGATGAAGTTCTGACAAATCTAATTTTAAAAATCATACATGGCTCTAAAGGGGAATCACCACTGAAAATTTCTTAAACTTGAAGTTTCAGGTGATGATAACCACTATCATTTATTAAGGACCAAAGAGCCAGGCACTATGCAAGCATTACTGCTCCAATCGTCCCATCAGCCTTATGAGGTGAGAACTATCATCCCCAGAGTTAGAACAACTGATGCCCAGTGAGATGAAATAACTGAAAAGATGGGATCTGAACCTACTGTGAGCCTGGAGTCCACATTATTCAATACCACCTGATGCTCTAACCAGTTTGCACATCCTTCCTATTAAACTTCCCTCTTCCTAGGGCTCCGTTAATACTGTCTGTGCAACACAACTTAGAAATTCCATGCCCCTGCTAGTGGGAGTATAAAATGGTACAACCGCTATGGAAAACAATATGGTGTCTCCTTAAAAAGCTAGACTGAAAATACCATACTAGGAATATATCCCACTCCTAGAAATATATCCTAGAGAAGAGGTGTCACACAAATAGACATATGCACACCCATGTTCACTGCAGCATATTCACAATAGCAAAAAGATGGAAACAATCTAAGTGCCCACTAACAGATGAATGGATAAACGAATTATGGTACATAGACACAACGGAATATTACACAATGATAAAAGAACAATGATGAATCCTTGAAACATCTCACGACATGGATGAATCTGGACAGCACTACGCTGAGTGAAATAAGTAAATCACAAAAGGAAAATTTTATATGAGACCACTATTATAAAAGCCCAAGAAAAGGTTTACACACAGAAAAAAACAATCTTGGATGGTTACAAGGGAGGGGAGTGGTAGGGAGGGGAAATCACTAACTAGAAAGTAGACAAGTGTTAACTTTGGTGAAGGGAAAGACAACACACAGTATAGGGGAAGTCAGCACAAGCTGACTAAGGCAAAGTCATAGAAGCTCCCTAGACACATCCAAACACCTTGAGAGACTTGAGTTTACTGTCGCTGAGGGCTGGGGACCATGGTCTCGGTGGACATCGAGGTCAATTGGCTTAGCATAGTTCATAAACAAACTGTTCTACATTCCACTTTGGTGAGTAGCATCTGGTGTCTTAAAAGCTTACAAGCAGCCATCTAAGATACATCTATTGGTCTCATCCAGTCTGGAGCAAAGGAAAATGAAGAAAACCAAAGACACAAGGAAAATATTAGTTCAAAGGACTAATGGACTACATGAACCAGAGACTCCACCAGCCTGAGCCCAGGACTAGATGGTGTCTGGCTACCACCACCAACCACTCTGACAGGGATCACAATAGAGGGTCCCAGACCGAGTGGGAGAAAATGTAGAACAAAATTCAAATTCACAAAAAAAGACCAGACTTACTGGTCTGACAGAGACTGGAGGAACCCCGGAGACTACGGCCCCCGGCCACCCTGCTAACTCAGAACTGAAGCCACTTCTGAAAGCCACCTTTCAGCCAAAGATTAGGACAGGCCTATAAAACAAACAATAACACACTTGAGGAACGTGTTTCTTAGTTCGATCAAGTATGTGAGACCAAATGGGCAATACCTGCCCAAAAGCAAAGACAAGGCAGGAAGGGACAGGAAAACTGGAGGAATGGACACTAGAAACACGGGGTGTAAAGGGAAAGGGGGAGAGTGCTGACACAATGCAGGGGTTGCAACCAATGTAACAGAACAATTTGTCTATAAATTTTTGAATAAGAAACTAATTTGTGCTATAACTTTCACCAAAAACACACACACACAAATGGCAGTATCACCTCCTAGTTATTGTATAGGATTCTCTCCTGGCAGTTCAGGAGCATACACTAGAAATGTTCCTTTAAGGAAACTTACAGGCTGCAAGATGTTAGGATGTGACAAATAGGAACAAAGTGACAGCGCTCTGATTTTCCTTACTGGATCCCCAAATTGCAAAATGAAGCCTTAACCACCCTCTTAGCTTTTTCTGTAATACAACTCACAAAATTCCCTGCCAACCCCCCTCCTCCTGAAGAGAAGAGTTGGTCTGGCCAGTGTTGAGAAAGTTTTTCCTGGTGTTAACCTAGAAGAAACAGAAAACGTCAACTATTTTCTGTGGGCTGTTGTACAATGTTTACATAGTTCTGGCTTACCCCGTGTCCTTCAACGATTCAGAAAGCTTGGGATGACTTAGGTTCTTAGGACTTGAAAAAGGCCAGGGCAGACAACCAGTCTCTGAACAAACCCGAGGCACCCAACTAAAAACTTTGTTTGCACAGATGTAAAGGCATGGAAATTTATATGGCAAGGTCTGAATTCCAAAGTTTATTTGTTTTGTTTTTAATTACACACCCAACCAAATGCATAAAACCCCACAAAATGAGTGTAGCGGAAATGTCATCTCTCCTATTTTTAGACTGAAATATGGAACTCATAAAAGCGAGGCTGCCATAAATTTTCAGTCAGGAATAAAACAACTTATAACCGGAGGGGAGGAGGAAAAAAACGCACACACACACACCCCCAAATCTAACAGTGGTAAACAGTTTTTATTCAGGCAATGAAACATGGAAAAAATATATTAGTAATCATTATAATAATTTCATTTGTGTGAGTGTAACTTTTACAAATATTTATCTGACATATAAAAGGGGAAATTATTGTGCATATAAAATTTATGCAAATGATTATTCCACACAACAATCCCGATAGCAGCAGTCAACATGGCGCCCGTTGCTCCGGACGAGGGGCTCCTCACACACCTCTGGGCACTCGTCGGGGCGCAGGGGAAGCAGATGTGCAATTCACGTTACTTATTGGCACATTAGTACGTATGGACATCTAGTGGCAAACACACACTTGTAACAGCAACACTGAAATGTTTACTGCTGCCTCTGAGATTTAAAAGAAATGCCTGGATCCCGTTGCAGTGGGTGTGAAGGAGCGAGGCTGAAGCTGTGGTGACATACAGACTGCCCTGTACCTGGACTGCGGGTTGTTTCAGAGTTCACATTTTTGTTAAGATCATGTGAAAATTATTCATAAATATAGACTATTGGTTAGCAGTGTGACCCGGAAATACTTTTTGGAGTATATTTTGGATGCCACTAAAAGGCAGAGACAGCAAAGTGGCATCTTTACAGCTCTGAATGAAGAGTAAATACAGGGAAGGGTGAGGCCACACCTCAGCTCCAAGCCTGGCCTTCTTCATATGAGTTAAAGCATTTTACAGACTGCCACAGGCCAGCATCACACACAACATCTCCACATTAGAACTATAACCAGAATATATATATATAATAGCTATAACCATATTATAGTTAATAAAGTCATTCCTTAGGAATCTTGCTTGTCCAAATCTAATTGCATGCTAAGAGGCACAGAAATGGGATTGCATTTGGACGAAAAACTACGAAAAGTGCAATCTTTAGTCTCCAGGATGCAAGCTCTGGCACTAGGGAGTAAGTCTTCGCTGGAGAATACCGTCATATATATTGTCTTCCAGAGAAGAACCTGTGGGAGAAGAGTCTAGTATAGCGGTTCCTTTACCGTTTTCTATATAGGAGACTCAAGGTTTGAATGGTGAATTGTTTCTTAAAAAATAACTGGAGTCTGGAAGCCAATCAAACCTTTCTGGACAGAAGTCTCCTTTTAAAATATTTATTAAAATCTTCAAAGTAGATGACTTTTTGGACCTTTGGCTTGACACGCTGGGATTCCCAGACTATATTTGTTCTTTAATAAGCAAATAACCTAACTTTTAAATTCTTCAGAATATGTACACCTTTACTTTAAAATCCTTTCTTAAATCATTTAATCTTTCAACATCTACTGTCTCTCTTTCCAACAAGAGGATAAAGTAAGAAATCTAAGTCTGAGAGCGGGCTCACACAGTCACACCACCACACGGAAAAAACAACAGCCATGTACAATTCAGGAGATAGCTACCAACTGCAGTGAAAGACCAAAAAGGAAAGAAAAAATTGGCTTTAGAACTTCTACTCCACTAAAAATACGATGTGCTGAATCATTTCTAACTCAACATACACGAGACCTACGATTGCTCTTTAAAAGCTTCATTTTGGGCGTTAGAACCATCAAGCCCTTGTTATGTTTTTTAAGTGAAGCTCCCATATGGCTGCTTTTAGGGGATAAGTTGGTTTATTCTCCCTGTTCATAACTAGACAGAGCTAATTTAGTACTGTCTAATAAATATCTAGGTATTTGTGTGTGAGTTGTACAAAGTCTGGGATGGGTAGAAAGGGTAACTGGCTGGAAAGAAAATTCAACTTGAGCTATCCTCTAAAATGAAATGCAAACCTTCTGGTAGCATCCATACCATTCTGGAATGCTGCCAAATCCTCAGAGCTTTTCACCATCATGTGCTTCTGCATTTCCTAATTTGGCTGGGTTTGAAGAAGCTAGAGACCACGTGAGAAAACCGGGCTTCTCAATAATTCCAGAACAGTTTTACAGAACAAAAGGTTTGGGTAGGTCACCGGCTTCAAGGAGCGTCTCCAAATAAAGTAAGTCTCTGGCGGTCTGGCTGTAGCTGACTACCTCACCAACCAAACAACAAATTGTTCACTCTGTCTTACATCAAATTCTCCAATTAAAATACGGTTAGATAAAGTCTAGCCACACTTTGGCAAAGTAAAAACTAAAGAAATGCCTTTGGATCCAGAGTTTCAGCAAAATTATCTAATAGACCCCCAAAACTACTTTGTAAAGCAGCAGCTTCCTTAACGTTTTCCTTCTTCACTTTTTCAATACGGTTATTATTGCTTAACTAACAAGTAATTTGGCCCCCACGTGTTTTGAAGTAAAACTCTAGACTACATTCTCACTCTCCAGAGTTTCAAAAGTTTTTTTTTTTTTGCTTATTTTTAAAGAGAAATAAACAAACATACCTCATTCTGGCTAGCACAGTTTCCTGATTTGCCAGCTGTACAAGCTACATTTTCATTCTTGTTGGAAAGTATCCATCTATTAAATTAAAATTAAGAGCATTTCCATGTAATGGTCATGGCTGAGAGGCCAGTGGCAAATATTCTTAACAAGGACCCTTTTGTATTCCTTGCTCAGCAACTTCATTCCCTAGGGTCTGGATTTTAAGGGTCTCTCTACCAGCGTGTTAGGAAACGACTGTCGTCACCTTTATTGTAACACATAGCTACCTTTTTAATACATAATAAGCCTAAAGAAAAAAAAGACTATGGATTTATAATGGAGACCATGAAAAGTCTTTTATGCTGAAAACAGAACAATATAAAACAAGTAAGCATGGACGTGTCACCAAAACACAGCAGCAAAAAGGTTTTGTAATGTTTTTGCAGACTGCAAAGTTAATTTCCCTAGTAGTTGAGGGCCATGGCTGAAAGAGGAAATCAGTTATACCAGCTGCAGACATATGTATCTGCCACTAGAACTATTAGTATGGCATTCACATCAAGCCACAGTAACTGCTTTCAAAGTCCAAACGATTGTCAAGTCACTCCTTCAACCAAAGATAATCTCTGTTGTTCTTTTTTGTACAAAATGTTAAGACAATAGGCTTTAAAATACAGCCTAAGCACCAATTATGATTAACGCATATTGGTAAAACATGACTTCTGGCTTTAAAAGACATTGACTTTCCTGTGGCTAAAGACTGCACCCATGTGAACAGTACATTGCTAAAGAAAAAGTCTTTTTTTTTTTTTTTTTTAAGATTTACAGAGGTTCTCTACTAGGCACAACTCATTGCTGAAGTTGGATCATGCAAAAGGTTTACCAGAAAAGTAGGAAAACTTACATGTAGTAGTGAATATAGCGCATATCACCATGAAGACTGTCAGGGTATAAGATTAAGACAAAGGAGTGCTTTAAAATGCTTGCATGGAAAGGAATTCACTGGAATTACATGGAAAATTGTCATTTTGGTGTCAATGGCCTCCCCAGCCCCTGTTCTGAACTGAGTCCAGTAAGAGCTTGAGAAACTTCGTTTAGTTAGTTAGTTAGTATGGATCTTCTCCCTATACTCCCTGCTCCCAGAATTCAAGTTGTCTTTGTTTAAAGATATTTAAAACACACTGATTTTTGAAGTAGTTCGCATGATTTTTACTGCTTGTTTTGTTAAAAATCCCACTATTTTAAGTTTTAAAGGATTTTCTGCTTTTTAAAAAACTTCTGGAGAACAATTTATCACACTTGCAGGAAAAAAGCAAAAACGAGAACTTTCTTCACCTTATAATTGCTAATGGGCCTACAGTTACCTTTCCTTTTAATTAAACGAGATCATCTACGCCTTTTACAAGTAGATTTTCTTTGCATGTTTTAAATAGAAAGATAATAAAGATTAAATGTTGATTTTCGTTTCAACAAGTGGAAGCAGAGGAGACACATGGCTCTAGACAGACTGGCCAAACCCCAGCTTTGAGGGAGTCCCATGCTGCTGTTCATGCAGAAAGTAGACACTACTTTCAGCTGAGGACTAATTCCAAAAGGGCCATCCATACCTGTCAAAGCGAAGGAGCACCCAAATACTAGGGCAACAAAATATTATGGCAAAAAGTCTTTCCCAGACATGCATGACCCGAGTCTGGACTTATGAACCATGAAAGACACAAGCCCGGGGTCTTTACATCTTCAATCCCCCAAATTCTGAGCCAGGACTCTATTTCAAAACAGGGGTTTACATTTATGGGAGTATGTTCTTCGGAGAGAAATTCTTATTTGACTATGTTTCAGGGTAAAAAAAAAAAAAAAGCAGCATATATAAATGTGTGTGTGTGTGTGTGTATGTGTAAACTGGTACACAGAACCTCTTCTTGTTATAAACTAGAGGTAACAATAGGCCAAATTATCTCTTCAAATAAAACCACGGATGTTGAAAATTAAATTCAAAAGATTAAATAATAGGTCACACACAGAAAAAACCAAGATGGTGCAGAAAGGAGATGATCCCAAACAGTAGTCACAAAATCACAAATTTAACATCCTTGAAAATTAGAAACAACTGTAAAACAGACTAAAGATGGAGAAATCACAAATCCTAACTCAGCAGCCTGTTGAACTGGGCCTTAGGACTTGAGCCTTGAGACTGTCGGATGCCTTCTTTCCTGACTCTGCAGGACTCAGGGATTCTCCAGGCTGTCGTGCCGGCAGCAAAGCGGGACAGGCAGCAGGAGGATGTGCTTTTTTTCAGTTTTTTCTCTGCAAAGGGGCAATTACTCCTGGATAAGGCAAAATACTTGTGGTCACGAGGGAAGCAGCCGAATGCAGATCTGCTGGACTAACGGGAAACTCAGTCGGTCTTTCCCAGCTTTGCAATCAGCTCATCACAGATTTTTGTCAATTCTTCGATCTCTTGGTTCTGAAAGACAAATGATGCACTTAGGCAGGCTTCTCTGTCTTCTGAAATGAAGGCCGTTCCAGCTAAATCGTCCCAAGAATGGCGCTTCCCATCTTAACTCAGTGGTTCTTAACTTCACTACATCATGTTGTTGCTAGCTGCTGTTGAGTTGATTTTGACTCACGGTGACCCCATGTGTGCAGAGTAGAACTGTTCCATAGGGTTTTCAAGGCTGTGACCTTTCAAATCAGATTGCCAGGCCTATCTTCCGAGGTGCCTCTGGGTGAGTTTGAACTGCCAACCTTTTGGCTAGTAACTGAGCACTTAACCGTTTGCACCATGCAGGGACTCCTTCAACACGATAGACCCTCCTTAAGGAAATGAAAGCTGTAAGCCTTCTCCCCTGGGAAACATGCATACACTCACAAAAACATACTTGAATTGAGTAGGGATGGACGTAGTCACCTGACCTCTGAAGCTTGTCCACGAGCCTCTGAGTTCCCAAACTTCCTTGTTATTACAGGAATTACCTGGGGGTGCTTGCTAAAAATTATAAGCATCTGGGTCTTAGCACATCAGCATCCCCAGGGACCTGGGATTCTGCAGTCTTATTGAGCACCCTAGCGAGTTATCCGGCCCCATGATAAAAACCCCTCCTCTAGCTGAATGGATGTCACAGGCATTAGTACATACTTACAGGCATAGTAAGAAAAACAGCAGGGACATACAAAGAAGAAATTCTAAAAACTGGGGATCCAGGAGAATAGCTGCTACCACGGTTTTTCATTTATCTACAGCAGAGTTTCTCAGCCATGGCCCCATTAACATTTTGAGCCAAGTTAAGCCTTTGCTGTGGGGAGCTATCTTATGCATTGTAGGATGGATAGCAGCACCCCTGGCCTCTACCCACTAGATGACAGTAGCATCTCCCAGTCATGACCAAGTACATCTCCAGACATTGGCCACTGTCCCCTGGTAGGCAAAATCACCCTGAGAACCAGCGATCTACAGCAATGAAGGGGGAAGGTGGCAGCTCCACATATTGCAAAAAAAACAAAAAGAGAACCAAAAACTGGCCTCATGACTTCAACTAAGAAGTGTCTGCTTCTGAGCTTCAGTAAAACGTAACTTCCTCTCTGTGCCCTGCCTATAGATGATTCCCACCCTGTATGCCTGGGAGTTTACGGGGTCCGTCTGCCTTTACAGAACGAAGGAGAGGTCATCTTGTTTGTCTCCACCTGAGTCAGTTTACAAAGGAGCTGGCCTGAAGCATCTGAACCAAAAGGCCTTGTTCATCCGGATCCATTATAAGCTAAGTACACCAAGGACCAGTGAGAGCCACTGCTGAGGGGGAAACATCTGGTCATCCAGACGGAACCCCTTTCTGTACCTTCTGCTGAAGGGCCCTTTCCAGGGACTCCACCTTCATCTGCTCTTTCCGGAGTCCAGCATGGAGAGCGGCACTCTCAGCCTTTGCTTTTGTTCGAACCTGAGCAATCTCTTCATTGGCTCTGTTTATGGTGTTTTGTTTGGAGAATAAAGAGACAAAAAAAATACACAGTTAGCCATCAGACGCAGTTAAAGAGTCAGGGTACTAATTGCTGACATCCATGACACATGGACCTAAGGGAATGGACTTAATGATAGGAAGAAAAATGAGAATCAGTGATCTAAGTAATTCAATTTTAATTTATAAAAATTCAACCTACACACAACTGCTAAGGAAATTTCCAGGTATAAACCAATGGTAAACTCAATCTCAAGGGCACAACCTCCTTCCAAATTTGTATTTCAGTAGAAAATGGAATCATATAACATTTTCTACAACCATCTTAGATTTTTTCTTAACGAGTTTCAATTTTTTTTAAATTTATGCTTTAGGGGAAAGTTTACAACTCAAGTTAATTTCTCATTCAAAAATTTATACTCATATAATTTTGTGACATTTGTTACAATCCCCACAATGTGACAGCATGCTCCCCTTTTCCACCCCAGGTTCCTTGTGTCCATTTGTCCAGTTCCTGTCCCCTCCTGCCTTGTCATCTTTGCTTTTGGACAGGAGCTGCCCATTTGGTCTTGACATTTGATTGAACTAAGAAGCATGTTCCTCACGTGTGTTATTTTTTGTTTTATAGGCCTGTCTAATCTTTGCCTGAAAAGTGGGCTTCGGGAATGGTTTCAGTTCTGGGTTAGCAGAGCATCCGGGGGCCATAGTTTCGGGGTCTTAGATTTTTTTTTTCTAACTAAATGCAACAGCAGGCAGGAACACGTGGATGATTGCAGCTAAAAGAGTCAGGATACTACCCATTGACATCTGTGAGACATAAACTTAGAGACATGAGTTCATTAACAAGATGCTAAAGCACAAATTTAAAAACATGTGTCAGCTGATAAAAAATTAACTAACGAGAGGATGCTAAAAACTCAGTAGTAATCACCGGCATGCAAATTAAAATCGTAAAGCTTTTTTTAAACTTATCAGATTGGAAAAAATTAACGATGATCTTGTCCTGTGTTGGCTGAAACACAGGGAAACGGGCAGGCTCACATCCTGATGGTAGGAATGGAAACTGATGCCATCTTTGTGGAGGGCAATGTGGCAGTTACTATTAAAATTTAGAATATGTAACACCTCTGGCCTAGCAATTCCACTTTCAGTTATCTGTCCACAGAAATGCTCCCATTTGGCACAATGGGGAATGCACAAGGACGTTCACTTAGCATTATTTACAATGGGAATACATTCAAAACTACCTAAATGGTCACCAATAAAGGAATGGTATAGTCCTACAATCTATTTTTAAAAATTAGATTGAGCTATCTGTTCTGACATAGAAAGATGGCTATGATAGACTGGCAAGAGAAAAAGGAAATTTATATGACTCCAATATTACATTTTTTAAAAAAGTTAAAAAAAAGTCCTAAACTGTTCTGAATCGTATCTGGTTAGGGCACAAAGAAAAGACTGGAAGGATATATAGTAAACCTTTAATAACAATATTTCTGGGAAGTGGGAATGGGAAACGGGAACTTTAAAGTTTTTAGGAATAGGAAGAGAGTAAAATGTGCAAGTATGTATTACTTTTTAGTTAAAAAATAAAGTTGGATGCATCCTTCACACCACTCTCTGGGATAAATTCCAAATGTATTTGGACTTGAAAATTTAAAAAATTAAGCCCTAGAAGTCCTAGAAGGACAACATGGGAGTTAATTTTATACCCAGCCTGGGGAAGATCTTTGTTTCTATGACAGAAAATCCAGAAGCTGTAAATACACGAGCTGATAATAGAAAAACGGGTCTAGAATAAACAGAGCCACTCACAGCAAGGCAAGTGTCTGAACAAACAGCCGCTAAAATATATTCAGTCTCACTCATAAGATAAGTTCAAATCAAAACTACACTGAAATACCATTTTTCACCTACTACAATGGCAGAAAATCACAAATGTGACCTGTTGAGGAAAGAACAGGGAAAACAGGCACTCTCATAAATTGCTGGTAGGAATGTAAATTGGCATTAGCCTTGTGAGAGCAATTTCACAATATTTCTCATAATTCCGGAAGTTTATATATCGTTTGGCCCAGCAATTAATTTTCTAGGTATTTATTACACAAATAACTCTCATGCATGCAAAATGACAATTATGCAAGGTTATTTACTGCAGCATTATTTATAAATGCAAAAGATTTTAAATAACCTGAATGTCCAGCTGGAGGGGACTGGTTAAATGAATAGGATCCATTCCAACAGTGGAATACCATGCAGCTATTTAAAAAAACAACAACGAGGAGGCTCTTGATATAGAAAGATCACCAGAATGCATTGCTAGGTGAACAAAAGCAAGGTACGCTACCATCTGTACAAGAAAGGAAGGGGAAGTACACCTGCAAGAGTAAACAGAAACTAACAATAGTGATTACCCAGGATGGGGGATGAGATAGGAGCCCAGTGGAAGGGGGAAAAGGGTAGAAAAAAGACACTGTATATACCTTTTTATACTTTTATAATGTTTGAACCATGTGAAGGTGTTACCTATTCAAAAAGTTAAATAAAACACACACAGACAAATGCAACCTGGAGTTGAAAAACAGTGAATTTTCTAGCCTCTGTCCCACAGCATCACAAAAAAATGAAATTCATATTTCCAAGCTCTTACTTGTCTAGCTTCTCTTCTGCATGGATTTTCAGGGCCTGATATCGCTGTTCCTCTTGTTTAACTCTGGCTAAGTAGTCCTGAGCACATTTTTTCAAGGCTTCTTCATTCTGTTCCAAAGTGATAATTTAAAATAAAAGTAGTCATTTTTGTTTTTCTTCTACTAGTAATATACCATGTATCAGAGTGTCCATTTTTAAAAAATGAGAGAACCTAATTAATTCAGATACCTTTAATTTATACTCTATGGCGATCTGAAATGGGTACAGAGAATTCTCACTGAGGATGTTCTAGGTAATTTCTTCCAGGTGATTAACTTTCAACATCATACAGTAAGGTTCAGTTATACCAATATACCTACTTTATTTTTTAAAAAGTTTTTTTTACTGTGGTAAAATACATATAACGGAACGATAGCATTTTAGCCATTTTTAGGTCTACACCTCCGTTACATTAATTACAATGACCATGTGGTGTAACCATCACCACTATGCATTTTCATGTGTTTTCCTACTTTAGGAAGGCAGTTGTTCAAAACTGAATCACAATCTGATTCTCAGATAAATTGGCTAGTCTCACGTTTATTTTAATATAAAAATAAAGAATGCTCTCTGCTGTAAATGTGTCTTATAGACAGTGTGCAACTAAATTAATGTGTTCATTTACATCTAAATTTGAAATGAGTAGAGAAGAGAATTACATAGTGAAGGAAGCAAACCAAACCGAAAACCCCTTAGTCTCTTCAAGAATATGTAGCTTGACATTTTCAGAAATACTTCTCCTAATGTTGGACTGGTGAATTATCACAAAGAACATTTCTAGAATTCTCCTAAGTTCTCAGTGTTCCATTTCTTACATTCCATGCCACACTACTGTCTCTGGGGTTTACTGGCCTGACCCAGAAGAAGACTAACCAAGACCTACCACCCAGTGGGCCAGATGCCTGAACAACCACAGAAAATAAAATAAAATAAAATAAAATCTCCAGTCTCACTAGAATAGAGGACAGAAAGCCAACAGGGGCCCTGAGCCTCAATTTAAAAGGCAACCCACACCTCTGCTATATATGTTTGAAGAACCATTACCAAGAAAAGACACTAGCAAGAAGACAGAAGGAAAAGGACACGCCACCTTCTTGAACCCTTCCAGGACGCCTTTCAGGTTCTCGTATCTCCTGAAGAGATCAGAAAGGGACCTTTCCACAGAGTTAAGGTCCGCCAGGGCCTGCTCCTTCTCCATGGTCAGTTGTTGGAAGCTCTTCTGAGAGGTCATATTTGTCCGCTGTTCATCTTCTGTGAATCGGGAGTCGACAGTAATGACATATTTACTCAACACACCATCAACAGCTGCCCTCCATGAGCTAAGTGCTGTTCTCGGTGGCTCTGCTTCTCAAGGGTTTCACTCTAGTTGGTGATGTTGAAAAAAAATAAAGCAGGGCAAAAGGGGTGGCAGTTACTGTTTTATATGGAGTGGACTCTCTCAGGGGGAGATGCGAGCAGAGACCTGAGAGAACTGAGGGCAGAGGAAGAATATTACACAGAGAGGGAACCAAACCCAAACCCAAGCCATTTGCTGTCGAGTCAGTTCCGACTCATGGAGACCTCATGTGTGCAAAGTAGAACTGCTGCATAGGGTTTTCAGGTGGTGACCTTCTGGAAGCAGATCACCAAGGCTTTCTTCTGAGGTACCTCTGGGTGGGTTCAAACCGCCAACCTTTAAGTTAGCGGTTGAGCACATAACCACTGGCACCCCTCAGAAACTCCTGGAGATGGAGCAGCTGTGCTAAAAGCCCTGTGGTGGGAAGGCATGTGGTGTTGAGAACACCAGAGAATATCATTTAAGGGTTTAAGTGCAGAAAGATGGGATTTTCATTTAGGGAGTCAATCCTTACAACACTGGCTAGAAAAGGCTCTAAGTTCAATGCAGGAGGATCACTCACTGTTATTTTGTAAAGGCACCGATGGGTCTAATGCAAAGAAAGTGCAACTTGCAGCGGGGTAAGGACCAAACCTGTTGCCGTGGAGTCAATTCCAACTCATAGTGACCTCACAGGACAGAGTAGAGCTGCCTCATACAGCTTCCAAGGCTGTAACCTTTATGGAAGCAGACTGCCACGTCTTTCTCCCAAAGAGCGGCTGGTGGGTTCAAACTGCCAACCTTTTGGTTAGCAGTCAAGGGCTTAATCATCAGGGCTCCTTGAGGTAAGGACACTGCGCCACAAAGGGATTTCACCCCAGGGGTATTAATGATGCGGCGAAGCCCCCCAACTCTGGGTACTGGGAGTAGGGTTTCTCAAAGAATTAAAGTGTTTACCATCTTCTAAAATGAACCTAGCTATCTACGTGGTGAAGTTTGTATACTGATCTGAAAAGCACCATTGAATTCTATGGCTAGAATCCTAGAAACAAATTTTTTGCTTACCAATCATTTGGGCAATGGTCTTTTCATATTCAGCCACAATTTTCCTAAATAAGGGGGAAAAAAAGAATTTAGCATCAGCTGGGAATTTTCAGACAATGAAAGCTGGAGAAATGCTGCCCCAAACAATTAAACACATTAACGTACAGTGACCTTCCAAATTTATATAACCCATTTATATCTGGTTTGGGGCTCTCATTTTTAATATTAATATAAGATTTATTAAAGTCCAAAAAAGTATTTCTGAAGATATTCTGTTTAACAATCTTTCTATTCTATTTAGAGAAACAACTGCCTTCACTTTCTCTTTCTGCCTATTTGAGCATCTCTAGGCAATAGATTAATTCCACTTAACCAAATCAATCTTTTACAAATTAATGAAATTTGGGGAGGGGGGGCTCTTCCTAAGAGGTCTGATCTGACTTCAGGTTTTCCCGGCCCCGATCCACCCTTTCAGGCACTCTATTCCCTCTGATTCCGTTAAGTTTTATTCTGCTGTCCTAATTCCTAAAGTATTTCACTGATTCAAAGACTGTAAAGTCGCCCCCTCATGTTAACCTTTCTCTTAGTGAAGTGAAGCAATGTTCTGACCCTGCTCAGTGCCCAGGGGCTGCTCCCAGGGATCTCCTGAGGGAGAAATGATCAGCCCTTCCCCCAAACCCCCCCTGGGGTGCTTCGCACTTTTTACACTGCATCCAACAAGTAGACCCTTAGGACGTCTACTGTGAGCTCCCTAAGGGCATGGTCTGTCCCTTACTCTCCACAAACCCAGCACACAGCCCTACACCAGTAAACACTCAATCAATAACATAAAAGCCAAAAATTAGGGTGATCATATTTAAAATGTTTCTTAATCATTTAAGCACTGACTGCCAAGTGAGATGAATTATTAACGCTCCTTCTTTCTCCTCTTCTTTGATGCCATACTGAGTGATTTCCCAGCTCATAACTCTCCTTTCTAAGGAGTGAGCAAGAACAATAAAAAGTTACCAACTTAAAGTCAGTCAATTTTGTCTCTTGTTAACATGTTTTTTATAATCTATTTGGTGGGTGTGGACTTTGAAGTCACTATTGCTCTTGTAAAGATTTGTGGTTGCTGTGTGCTGTCAAGTCGCTTCTGAATCATAGAGACCTACAGGACACAGCAGAACTGCCCTACAGGGTTTCCTAGGCTGTAATCTCTATGGGAACAGATCGCCAGGTCTTTTCACCCATGAAACTGGTGGGTTCAGACCATCGACCTTTCGGTTAGTAGCTCGGCACTTGATCACTATGCTACCAGGGCTCCTTTTCGTAAAGATTACAGCCTAGAAAACCCTATGGGGCAGTTCTACTCTGTCACATGGGGTCGCTATGAATAAGAATTGACTCGATGGCATCTAACAGCAACAACATCTAAAATTAATTTTTAAGAAAGTATTATGAATTATCCCGTAACAGAAAATACCAATAAATCATATTCTGCATTTCAAATAGACATTTTTGTATATATGCATGCCAAGTCTTTTCAAAAGACAAGAATTATATGGTGTTCTGCTAACTTCTAATGTTCTGACCAACCCAAGATCAGCTACAATGTTTGAATACAGCACCTGCCAGCAATAACTCATGAAATGGCATTATCAATCACATAAAGCAAGGTGCAAACAGCAAGGCCCTCAAGCACTGAACAGTTGGCTCTGTAGTAAACACTTTCATCACTTTATCTGTAGAAAACTGAATAATGCATAAAGGTATCCACCTGCTGCCCCAAACCTCAAGTCTAACCTCATCTCCAGGACTTCTTGTCGGGTCTCTTCGTATTTTTTCTTCCATTCATTTGCTTCAATCTCTTTAGTGATTATCTACGTTAAAACAGAGAAAAAACCTGGTTTTACCTACTCAATCTATTTTGGCAGTTTGGATTTGAGATTGGAGCCTGGAAACAACATACAACCAGGCCCGTACCAAGACATTCAACCTATATTTGTAAGATAAAACCTCAACAGCTGTACCTGATGCTATTATACATTTGGAAAAACATACTCTCAGCCACATGGGATGCTGCAATGAAGCCACCAGGGTAAAGGTAAGCAGGACATCTCCCAGGACGATCCCAAGTGCTATTTACAGCCTCTGTGAATTTTGGTTGGAATACATTTATTTTATCTGTCTGTAAACAAGGTGTTTAATAATTACGGCATTTTTAACAATGCATGTTAAATCAGATGAGTGAGACTGTACCCCAGATGAAGCAAAGTACGGGTAAAAAAAAGAACAAATCAGCTACAATATTTATTTTTAAATCTGTACATTATCCACAAGGCCTCCAAAATAGACACAAATCCTAGAATGTTTCGAAAGTAGAGCCATTTGAAAGGAACCCTTAACAGGTCAGTTAAAATCCATCTCACAATAGCAACAGTTCATTTTAACAATAGCTACACATGAAAAAAACTCATCACAAGACAGACATGTCCACAATCACACTTCATATAAAAACTCAAGCTGTAAATAAAAATTGGTGTTATGCGAAACAAACTGGACACACTGGACGTTGGGATACCTAACGTCCGTAACGGCAGCCTTTTACAGTTCGACTAAAGCGTAGAGCTGGGGTGCAAAGAAAATGACAGAAACAAAAATCTGAACTATTGCAATGACAGAAAGTCCCTGGAGATTCGATCACTACGGTTACTGTGAGGTCATGAGAGGAAGTGCCTTTTGCTCTGTAGGCCCAGAACCCTGAATGTGACAGGACACCAGGGGCAGACCCATCTGCCTGGCAGAGACTCACCTTAATCAGAGTCACATTAATGTAGATGGTAGAGTACCAATTTTATTTATGATGAGAAATAAAACTGCCATAAAATCAGAGTGTAAGAGTTGGCGTGACGAGCACATTCTCTTTCTGCAGAGATTTCTGACTGCTTGGTGTGATGGTTAATTTTATGTGTCAGCTTGGCCAGGTTATGATTCCCAGTGGTTTAGCCAAACGCTAGGCTAGTTGCTGTCCCATAATGTAATTACCTTCCATAATGTAATCTAGTGTAATGTAATCAATCAATCAGTTGAAAGGGGAGTTCCTTAGGGTATGGTCTGCCTCCAGATAGTAAATAAATATATTCTGACAGAACTCATTGTCTCTCTCCCTCAACTCTGCACCCTTCTTGTCGCCTGACCTATAGATCTTGGGGCACAAGCCTGCAGCATCCTGACCTATGGATTTTGGACTTGCTAGCCCCTCACAATCCCATGAGCCAATCCACTGAAGTATATCTCTCTCTGTATATGCATATATCTCACTAGCTCTGTTTCTCCAGAGAACCCTAAGACAACCTCAAACTCCTTTTACCCTGGAGGGCTTGGATGGGCCCTGCCAAAACTGCTGCACTCATTCTACTGTTACTGTACTTCCCTGGCTGTGCGTCTCCCTGATCCGTACACTCTTTATTTTGGTGCCTTTGATCTGCATCTTAGGAACCTAGCAGCCATCCTGCTTGCTTCAGGTAATGAGGTACATCTTTGCTTTGATACAAGGGGGGTCAACTCATTAACTCTCAGTAGGAAGACAATGTTATTTTTATCATTTCCAAGATTTTGGGGGCCTCCTCATCACTGCTTCTAAGTACTGACAATCGGACTAGCTGACACCCCTCATTACCAACTGAATGCTATTTTGTAAAGCTTTTAAACACCCATATGAGAGGTACTTACCTACTCTGATCATATTGTAAAAATAAAATTGCTACACCAAGGAAATTACCTTCTAGAAAAAGGTGGAATCATCAAGAAACAGACAAACCAAACTTAAAATACAGCACAGAAACACAACGGAAGAGAGTGGTAACTGACTAGTGATAGCCCAGAGCCGTGTCTTCGTATTTTTCAGATCACCCAGGAAAGGCCCCGCAATGATCTATGTTAAACAGAGGCTGTTCAAAAACCACAATACTGGCCAACAATAACACATGTGAGGGACATGCTTCAGAGTTCAATCATGTATATGAGGTTAACCGGCACACTAGCCCAAAAGCAAGGATGAGAAGGCAGGAAGGGACAGGAAAACTGGACGAATGGAAACAGGGAACCTGGGGTAGAGAAGGGGAGAGTGTTGACACTTCAAGGGGTTGGCAACCGATGTCACAAAACAATTGTATTAACTGTTTAATGAGAAACTAATTTGCTCTGTAACCTTTCACCTAAATCACAGTTAAAAAAGAGAAAAGCACAATACTAGAATTCAAGAGTTGGACTGTTTAATTAAAGGATGGTAGAAATAGGCAACAATTTTATATTACTGCAAGTCTAGAATTCGAGGAACCTTCAGGCATGAACACATATTCTCTGTAAAATGAAGGCACTGATTTAGTTTTACGTGTGAGTAAACTTGACAAAATTAGGTATTTAAAACTTCAAGGCCAAAAGGCGAAATAAAAAAAAAACCCATTGCCGTCGAGTCAATTTCAAATCACAGGGACCCTACAGGACAGAACAGAACAGAACTGCCCCGTACGGTTTCCAAGGAGCGGCTCGTGGATTCGAACTGCTGACCTTCCGGTTAGCAGCCAAACTTTTTTTTTTTCCATTGTGTTTTAAGTGAAAGTTTACAGTTCGAGTTAGTCTCTCATACAAATATTTATACACAGATTGTTATGTGACTCTAGTTGCTCTCCCTATAATGTGATAGCACACTCCTCCTTTCCACTCCAGATTTCCCATGACCATTCAACCAGCTCCTATCCCTTTTTGCCTTCTCATCTCACCTCTACACAGGAGCTGCCCATTTAGTCTCATGTATCTACTTGAGCTACGAAGCACTCTCTTCAAGAGTATCATTTTATGTCTTATAGTCCAGTCTAATCTTTGTCTGAAGAGCTAGCAACCAAACTCTTAACCACTATGCCACCTGGGCTCCAAAAGACAAAGAAGGGTACCAAATCCGTAGACTTTCAGAGTGGCAGCTTTGCCCCGGGCACCAGAACATCTGACTCCAGCAGCAAGGCTGGGTTTAACAGAGAGCCCATTATAGGTGTTAAACAAGTTACAGGAAGTAAGGACTTCTAGCCCAGGATAACTCAAGCCAACAGAGATGAAATCTCCTCCCAGGCACATGGGCTTGACAAGTAAATGGAGTGATAAGTAGATAGAACACGAGAAACAGGTTACCTCTTCTCTTATCAAGGTGAGCACGGCTGTCTTATCTGATTCACTGAGGCAGATTCCATCCAGGGGGCTCTCATCTCCACAGGCCACAGACACAGGTGTCTTCTCCACAGAGGACTCCACCAGACCCTATGTGTGGGGCGCAGAGGTCACACTTAATACCTTCAGTCTTCAGCTTCTGACCCTAAGTACCCTTCAATTGTTTCCTCACTACTAAGCTGATCACACCCTCTAAAATCAGGTTTGTGGGGAGGGATCTAGTTACAGTATTAGCTGAAGAAAAATGGTTGCAATGAATGTCAGGGTACTCTTAGCTTCTGTTGAACAGACAGCCAAGAGATGTTTTCTTCTTATCCAAGAACTCAGGGGGACGTCACTGAATTGCATGAGTAAAAAATGTTAAAATTGCAAATGTTTTCTAACATATATATTTACACACACACACAAACACACACACACACATGCACACACACAGTCTTAGGGAGGTCAGAGAATCACATGCACAAAAGAAAAAAATCCCATGGTTAATGCTCTCAGGGGGCCTCTGGGGGTGATGTGCTCCATGTAAATACATTGTCCAAAATAGTGGTAGTTGTTCCCTTTAAGTATTGATGCTTTGTGTGTATTTTTAACTTAGCTACTTTGGATGCAGATCCATCTACAATTTTAGTATCATAAACTTTCAGGCGTAAGGAGGCAGGAATGGCAAGTATAGTTGAATCCACCCCCACCCTCCACCCCCAGGTGATTCAGGGCCATCAGGAACCTCAGCTGCTCTGCAGTGATGTGCTGTAAGCCAGTGACACTGCCAGCGGGGCTCCATTATTTGTCCCTAAACACAACGGCTGCATATACGTCAAGGTCTGTGCCGGCACTTCCGTTTTCTGGCTCTTCCTCTCTGTTAAGTGTTGGGCTCTTGCTCCTTGCCAGTCAGAGGGCCCACTTCCAGCAGCACTTCTCATTTGGATGTGCTGGCTCCCTTCTCTCATAAACAAGGACTCTGTACTGTTCTCCTTCCTAAAAGCCATCTTTTGGGCTTATCTCCTCCTACCTAAGGAACCGAATATTTTGTCTAAATGTGTGATTTAAGAGCTTGGAAACATCTAAAATGCAGCCACGGTGACCTGGGAACAATCTCAGGGAGACAAGGTTAAATGTGACTGTAACTGATCAATTGGTTATTGTTTATAATTGACCAACTCTGTGATACTGTGTTTCAATCAAGACTGAACAGAAAGTCCACGGTCAACTTAGAATGGCGGCTTTTAAACTTTTCAAGGTCATTATGGACTCAGCCCATCTCTAGAATGCTAAAAAAAACCCACATAACTTTTGCATACAGCTTCACAGTCCCCATGAACCTCATTCAGGGGTGCAATATAGAAACCCCGGGTTCAGAGGCCATTAAGGGATAATGGAAAAAGTCATAAGCTAACAGTGCCTATGTCCAGCAGCAGTTGGGGGAGGGCAGCCCACCATGCCAGTAGGAGTCTGAGGTTCCCGCCCACTGACATTCTGTCTTGGGATAGATCTATCACTAGAGCCAGAAGACACTTGTGGTGGCAGCCTCTAAAATCACCCCCAGGGATCCCTGCATCCGGGTATTAATCCTCTTGGGTAATCCCTCCCCTTGAGTGTAGGCTGGACTTAGTGACTTGTTTCTAGAGAACAGAATATGACAAAAGTTATGGAATGTCATTTCTGCGATTAGGTTACAGAATGACTTTGGCGCCCATCTTGTTCACTCTCTTCCCCGCCCTCGCTCTGAGGGAAGCCGGCTGGCATGTTGTGAGTGCTGTTGTGGTTGTGTGCCATCAAGTCAATTCTGACTCACAGTGACCCTATATGATAGAGCAGAACAGCCCCACAGGGTTTCTTAGGCTGTAATCTTTAAGGGAGCAGATCACTAGGTATTCTCTCCTGTGGAATGGATGGAGGGTTGGAACTGCCAACCTTTCAGTTAGCAGCCAAGTGCTTAACCATCGTGCCACCAGGGCTCCTTATGGTGTGCATAACTCTATGGATAAAGGCCCACATGGCAAGGAAATGATGCCTCTGCCAACAGCCAGCGAGGATCTGAGATCTGCTGTTATGGACTGAATTGTTTCCCACAAATTTATGTTGAAGTTCTAACCCCTGGTACCTGTGGATGTGAGTCTGTTTGGAAATCGGATCGTTGAAGTTATCAGTTAATATGAGAAGTAGGGTTGGGCCTAATCCCATCTGAGTGGTGTCCTTACAAAAGAGGAGAAGAGAGACAGACAGAGAAAAGAACACCACGTAATGGAAGTCAAGGAACACCTGGGGCTACCAGAAGCTGGGAGAGAATGGGGCCCTTCCGACTTCTAGCCTCCAGAATTGTGAGACAATAAATTTCTGTTGGGTTAAGCCAGCTACTTTGTGGTATTTTGTTGCAGCAACCCTAGAGAACCAATATATCTGCCAATAGCCACGTGAGTGAGCTTGGAAGAGGATCCACCCCAGGTCGCGTCCAGAGGGATCGCAGCCCCGTCAATACCTTAAATGCAGTCCTGAGAGACCTTGAGTCAGAGGCACCCAGCTAAGCTGTGCACAGATTCCTGACCCACAGAAACTCTGAGGAAATAAAGGTTTGTTGCTTTAAGTTGCTGAGTTTTGGAGTAATTTGTTACAGAGCAACAGATAACCAATACACTCCTGGACATTTGAATCATCCTATTAACTTCCTGGGCCATGTTCTCATCCAGACACCTTCTCATACTCTTGCTTCCCATGTAACTTGCCTATAGGGAGAGAATGTACTAGGTCAAACTGACACATTGGTTCACTTGTGGTTACATTTCCAATTATAAATTAATACATTTAACTTGGAGCCCTGGTGGTGTAGTGGTTAAGAGCTACGGCTGCTAACCAAAAGGTTGGCAGTTGAAATCCATCAGCCACTCCTTGGAAACCCTATGGGGCAGTTCTACTCTGTCCTATAAGGTCGCTATGAGTCGGAATCCACTCGACATCAATGGTTTTGGTTGGTTTTTTGGTTTTAACATTAGTCGTTTGTGGGTTTTTATCAGTCTAAGTCAGAATCCCCGAATTGAATCAGCTCTAGGAAACAGCCTCCTTGCGCCTCCTGGGGCCACCATGTTAGCAAGAATTGGTAAATAAGTTCCAAAGATTCTTCTTAGTAAGGAAAATAGCAAAGTCTGTTCTTGAGTTCAGCATCTCATCACTCATTTGTCGAAGAAATAAATTAGTTCAATCTGCCTGCTCGTTTAGCAGAAAGTTAACGCCAACTAACGTGGTGTCTGGAAGATGCAGCATATTTCTGAGCCGCAGGTGGAGGATCTGACCTTGGATGGTGGCGAATGAGTCCAGAGGAGCGTGTGCTCTGCAGCCGCAGCTCTCCCTGACCACACTGTCTGCCTGGCCACGCGTCACAAGCCCCACCACTCTGCAGCGCTTACAAGGAATTTATGCCTGGGCCTACTGTAGCCTCCTTTCCCAGTCTCCGAAGATTTAACTTTTTACATTCTTTACTCCTTTATACTGTTTATCAAAGAGTGAAGAAAGCCTGGAGAATCTACTATTACAAAGAACTGGTCCATCCATCTCATCCTGGGCTGGGTATATGTTTAATGAAGACTTGCTAAATCAATCAGTTACATCCTTCCAAAAGGGTCCCATTTCATGTGAACTAATCTTTCGCTAGCCCTGGTAACGCAGTGGTTAAAAGTTAGGCTGCTAACTAAAAAGGTCAGCAGATCAAATCTACCAGCCACTCCTTGAAAACCCTATTGGGCACTTCTACTCTGTCCTATAGGGTTGCTATGAGTTGGAATTGACTCGACTGCAACGGGTTTGGAACGGGTTTAATCCTTCTCTGGAGTTCCTAGGTGGTACAAATGGTTAACGTGCTTGGCTGTTAACTGAAAAGCTGGAGTTTCGAGTCCACCCAGTAGCACCTTGAAAGAAAGGCCTAGTGATTTAGTTCTGAAAAGTCAGCCCTTGCAAGCCCTCGGGAGCACAGTTCTACTCTGACACACACGGAGTTGCCATGAGTCAGAGTTGACTCAATGGCAACTGGTAATCCTTCTCCATGTCCCATAAGGCATTCACAGGTTAGGGCCAATAAAGACCTATTTGTAGACAGCAGAACTCAATGGTGTTGGGTTACAAATTCACAGTGAGCACAGATGCCACAAAGCTAGTGATCTGTGCTCATGTCCTTGCAGTGAGAGAGTTAGCATCACTAATCTGTCTCTGAGTGCACTCACCCCACCACTGTCCTTGAATGCACTGGGGTGGTACCAGCCAGCTACCGCTTCTCTAACAAAGAGGCACACTTGGAAAATCCAGATGAACTCAACCTCTAAGAAGTTTGAGAATTCTTAAAAAAAAAAAAAATTTGGCTCCTAAGTGAAAAATGCTGCAGAATAACAGCTGAGAAGCAACATGAGACTTAATCCTCACCACTTACTGTACTCTGGCCTTATTTATTTTGTTTCAGTCACTACCTACTGCTGGGCACCAGAATATGACAGGAATGTGGGTCAAAGTAAACACAGAAAGGCTTAAAAAAAGTAAATGCTAGATTAAACCTGCTGCCATGGAGTCGATTCTGACTCATGGAATCGTGTTATAGAGTAGAACCGCTCCACAGGGTTTTCTTGGCCGTAATCTTTACGGATGCAGATTGCCAGGTCTTTCTCCTGTGGAGCTGCTGGGTGGGTTCAAACTGGCAACCGTTTGGTTGGTAGCTGAGTGCAAACTACTTGCGCCACCCAGGCTCCTGCTAGATTAAATAGATTTCTTTAATCTCTCCAACATTCTATGGAAGTAGAAATTAATTTATTCCAGGATGTTCTACTTGGGTTACTTTCAAAAAGTATGTACATGTACACGCACGCACGCACGCGCGCACACACACGTACGTATGCTTTTTACCTACTGGTTCCAGAGACAAGTACCCTCCGTTCTTCCCTTTTACTCTCATTCCCGGCTTTTCCTATCAACATCACACCACCTTACCTTAGCCTAGCACTTCACAGTTTCAGTCTTTCAGGTTATCATTACATTTTATCCTCCCAACCACTCTGACGAGGCAGATGGGGGCTGCTAATTTTATGCATGAATAAACTGGGCATCAGGAGTTGAACCGGCTTGTTTCTAGTATCAGGTAAACCACCCGAATCTGCTGCCACGCTGTTTCTTTGTCCACTCAACACCCTCTTCTTCTACTATTGCTGTGATTTTACACACTGAAACTAGCAGAAAGCACCCCCATGGTACTTGGAAAACTTGGAAGGGACTAGCTTCCCAAAAGTGCACACTCAGGCTGCTTTCAGTGGTGGGGAGTGGAGCTCCATAAGCTCATAGAAGGGATGACGGGCATCACTCTCTTTCAGAGACAGGAAACCTAGGCTTAAAGTTCTGTGAGTGGATGTGTTGGGACTGGTTGACCCAGCTCCCAAGAGAGAATCAAATTAAAGATCAAATAAATTTCTAGGCCAGAGTGACTTCAACCTGAAACCAATGTCCCTAATGAGTAAGGCTCCTGTGAAGGGACAAAGCTCCTGATTCCCTGTGTCTATGGGCACGCTCCTCCTCCTGACTCGCCCACTAGGCTTCCACCAGCTCCTCCCCCAACCACCCGTTGAGAGGTCAGGCGACTGCCTTTCAGCTTTCACTCATTCTACCTCCTCTTGGGAAATATTTTATGAACTGTGCATCGTGGCCTATTAGTGAGTCATGAAAACAATTTAGGGAGACAACCTATGTTAAAAGAATAAAATAGGAGAGAAAACATCAGAGTGAGTCACATGAAGACAAGTAGATATTGTTTTGTGAAATTTGTTTTATAAATATATAAGCATGTATGTCTTGATATGTCTGTCACATAAGTATCGGTCAAGATGCAAAATACTGTTTTATTGCGAATCAAAATAAAGAAAGTGTGAAGCATGAGTTCTTCTACTCAGTTTCAACTATCAAAGCTAGCACTGCCAACCTAGACTTTTTCTGAGTTGGTGCTATGCACTTAAAACTGCCTATTGGACATAGGCATGTAGAGCCTGGTCCCCCAGGTGTCTCAAAGCCACCTATCTAAAAATGAACTTCCACAATTCTGTTCCCCCTTGCATGTTCCTAATTTACTGAATCCTACATTCATTGATGTTTACTGTGGCAGGTGCTGGAGTATAGCAGCAAAGAAGACAGTCATGGTTCCTTACCTTCACCAAGCTTATAGTCTTGTAGGGAAGGCAAGGAGAACACGGGGTGACCCAAAGGGATGAGTTCACAAAACTGAAAGGAATTCTGTATGGCTAAGTGAGTTTCCAGCGTGTGAGGGACAGAGGAGACAGCTGATGCTGGGCACGGTGTCAGGGTCCCAGTGCAGAAAGCTGTGTAGGGGCCATAGTAAGAGTATGAGTCTATACTTTACCCTAAAGACAAGGGAAGCCGATGAAGAGGCTTAAGGAAAGAGTAATAAGATCAGTTTTGTGATTACAACATATCACCCTGGCTTATGTAAAAGGCTGAAATTGAGAATGAGTCTGAAAACACAGAGACTGGTTAGGAAACTGCCACCATGTCTAAAAAAACTGGAGGTGGCCATGGGCTGGAGGAAAGTAGATGGATTTACAATATATTCTGTGTACAGAAACCACAGATCTTGCTGAGCTTGTTTGTGGGAATAAAGCGGAGGACGGGGGGAGTCAAAGTTCCCAGGTTTGTGGCTTAGACAGCTAGGTGGATAGTGATGGCATCTGTTGAAATGGAATGAGGCTCCCCCTGGGGTTGGTTAACAGCAACACTGAACACTCGGATCTTCCAGATGGAAACTCTGAGTAGGCTTCACCAACTTTCTCTCATCCTCACTGCCACCCCAGCCGCCATATGACCCCAAAGTCACCAGGCATCCATCCCATCTTCTAAACTATCACTGATCCCACTGCTCCCCATTTAAAATCCCACAAGGGCTCCCTACTGCTTCTACCATGAATTCCAAACCTCTTGGCCCAATACCTATGGCCCCTGACAATCTGGCCCCCGTCTTCCATTGCATGGTGTCCACTGATCATATAAGATTATTATTAATATTTACAATTTCCTAAAAAGTCCATGCTCTTCCTTACTTGCAACCTTTGCACAGGCCAATTCTTCCATCTGGAATGCCCTTTCTTGCTTTATCTACCTAGCAAACCCCTACTCTGCCTTTAAAACTTAGCTCAAATGGAGAAACTTGGCATACACCACCTTAACCGGTGATCAAAGTTAGCTCCACCAGTAACAGGACAACCGAAACCCATAACATCAATCCTGTTGTATTCGTGCTAAAAATGTGTAACATGAATTTAGTCATGAAGCAACATCAGACAAACCCAAATTGAAGGATAACAGCTGGCCAGTACTCTTCAAAAGTGTCAGAGTCATGAAAGACATCTGTTCCAGATTAGAGGAGATTAAGGACATGAGAATTAAATGAAATTGTGCAATCCTGGACTGAATCCTACATCAGAAAAAGAATATTAATGGGACAATTAATAAAATCCAAATAAAGTTTAAAGATGAGACAACAGTATCATTATCACTGAAGGTCCCTGGGCGGCACAAACAGTTTGTACTCAGCTACCAGCCAAAAGGTTGGCAGTTCGAACCCACTCAGTGGCACCACGGAAGAAAGCCCTGGTGATCTGCTTCTGTAAACATTACAGTCAAGAAGACCCTATGGAGCTCAGTTCTACTCTGTATCACATGGGGTCTCCCTGAGTCAGAACTGACTCGATGGCAACACTATCTTTATTGTCATCACTGTTAATTAATTTCGATAAATGTACCGTGATTATGTAAAACATTAACATTTGAGACGTACAGATGAGAGGTATAAGCAATTCTTTGTACTATTTTTGCAAATCTAAAATTATTTCAAAAAGAAAACTTAGAAAAAATTTTTAATTAGCTCAAACTCAGCCTTCCCAACACCTGCCATGTAGGTGGCAGCCCTGGCTCCTACAGCCCCCGAACACTCTTCTTTTACAACATTCACCCCATGGTATTATTATTGATTTGCGTTTTACATCTGCTACCAGTGCTGTTCGACAGAAGTGTAACACAGGCCATATGGAATTTTTAATTTTCTAGTAGTCACATTAAAAAAAGTAAAAAGGAACAGGTAAAATTACTTCTAAAAATACAGTTTAGTTAACCCACTATAGCCCAAACATTACCATTTCAAAATGTAATCAATATAAAAATTATTAACAAGATACTTTTCTTGCACCGAGACTTCAAAAACAGATTGCACTTTACACTTACAAGACATCTCATTTTGGATTTGCTACAGTTCAAGTGCTCAATAGCCACAGGTGGCTAGTGGCTGCTGTACAGGACACTACAGGACCACATTACGAGCTGCACAAATGGAGACACTGTTGTATTTATATTTTATCCCAATCATCAAGCACTGACTAGAATTTATTTAGCGAATTAACAAGGGCTTCAAAATGAATAGTGAACAAAAGTGAGCTCCACCCCCCTCTCCGAGTTTAGGGACTTACAGGCACAGCAGGCTCATCTTTTTCCATCTTCTGGCACGACTCTTTCTCTAAGCCTAAAACACAGAGAGTCATTTTTATGGTTATCCCAGAAATTGGTTCCTTTACTTCCTAGTGGAAGACTCTTGAAAATACCAACACAGGTCAGAGTGACACTTATGAACACATGAAAAGTAATGCAAGAATTTAAAAGGAACACTGGCATTCTGCTGACCACTGTGCTGCTCCATGTTAAAAGTCCATAACATGGGAAAAGGAGTGCAGTTTAGTCAGCCATACACCAACCAGCAATCTTTACGTAGGAAGAACAGCAAGGCTGCCCCCTTGTGTTCATTGGAAGCTTTGCAAATGACTTGTACTAACCATGGGATTTTATCAAAAAGAGTTAGAAACCATAACACCAAATGCTATTTTATTACCACGTCTATGTGAATTTGAATTCCAGCCCTAAAGGGTACTCTCAGTTTAATTAATGTAGCAGGTAAGAATATAAGCTTTAAATTTCAATACCTGCAAAAGTAAATTCATTATCCTCCCCACACCCTTCAACCTGGTTTCCCTGCCTCTAGCCTACCTTCAGAGCCCTGGTGGCACAGTGGTTAAGAACTCTGCTGTTAACCAAAAGGCTGGCAGTTCAAATCCACCAGCCGCTCCTTGAAAACCATACAGGGCAGTTCTATTCTGTCCTATAGGGTCACTGTGAGTCAGAATCACCTCTACGGTGATGGGTTTAGTCTACCTTCCACCCTACCACCAGAGGCAACCAAAATGCCCAACACTGTGCTTTTGCTAATTAAAGGACTATGTACTCGTTGAAGAACTTTTTAAAATAGGAGAAAGTATACAAACTTTTAAAGCTACAATCTTCCACATAAAAACCTGTTTAAAAAAAAAAGACCCATTGCTACTTAGCAATAACTAAATACTATTTTAGTATACCAGCTGTCAATCACTTAAAACACAAATGGGACCATCACTCACCTGCTCGAGAACGTTCCTCCCCCATCCCTATAGGATCAAGCCCAAATTCCTCAGCACAACTTCGTTTCCCATGTGCCCTGTACTCACAGAAAGCTACGGGGCATTTTACCAACATGGCATGTTCCTTCCAACCCGTGTGAGATTCTTGTTCCCTGGCGCACATCTGTGTAACGATCAAGAGTCAGCTCAAAGGTGACTTATCCCCAGGAAACGCTGATTCACCTCGCCTGGGCCAGAAGCAACCACCCCCACGACCATGGCCTCTGCTTGCTCCTGTGATAGCTTCATCAGTTACAGTGTAACAGCTTATTTAAATCTGTTCCACCCGTAGCCGGTGAGCGTCTCCAGAGCAACACTGACTAGCTGTTCACTAACTTTGAGGATAGCACAGTAGAACCCAAGCTCTATACACTTCTGTTGAAGGAATTTCCTCCTAACGGGGAAGAATATAATTAATTCGGCAAATATTTACCATGTACCTCTATCTATTTGGCATCAGAAGGAATTCAAAGACGAATCTCTCATAGTCCCCAAGCTCAGGAAGTTTAGAACAGTTACCTTTCTAGAATTACTAGACAGCGTAGGTGCTGTGGAATGGGAACTGTGGGAAGAAATGTGTTAGGTGTGTAAACGATGGTGGGATCCAAGTAACAGCTGAGACAGACCTGAAAGGATGGGCAGAAACTTTATAGGAGATGGCAAAGAAAGGCATTTCAAATAGAAGAAACGATTATAAGAGTCCTCAGGATTAACCCCAAATAACTGGGGTATAAAGGGGCATAAACGGAAAAGGCAAACAAGGCCTTTGGGAAAGATGTCAGAGCAGAAGGCTGCTTTGGAAGAAACCTGGAACAATGCCCAGCACATTTATTTTATGAACGGGAAACTGAAGCCTGGGGGGCGCAAGGGGATACCTTGCTCAAAATCCTGACTTTCCACCTGCTTCCTTGGTTTGATGGCTGATTATATTTTTAAAAAATTCTAAGTATAAAAGCCTCAAATTACATCATGTTGCTCAAGAGGATCTGAGTTAAAAAAAATTAAAAATAACGTTTAAGGCCAGAGGTGTAACTTGGGAACTGGAAAAGGACCTCAGCTCTAGAATGTTCTGAAGAGTCCAACAGCAAGAGGGTTCAGCTCAGGTGAGTCCAGGTTCTTCATCAGAACGCTAAGAAGGATTTTATAGGACAGTGGTCAATTTCAATCCACCACATTTGTGAGCAGGAAAATTTATATATATATATAAATCAAACCCATTGCTGTCAAGTCTATTCCAACTCAAGGTGACTCCATTTATAATATTTATAATAGCCTAATGTGATGGAAATAATCTCTTCACACTTTAGCAAGTGTGGTTAAAAAACCATGGAATCAGCCTGCTTGGGTTCGAATTCTAGTTCTACTATTTACTACCTAAGTGACCTTGGCCGAACTATTGCACTTCTGTGCCTCACTTTCCTTCTCTGAAAAATGGGGGAAAGAATAAAACCTAGTGAGGAATGGGAATTCCAGAACACTTAATTGTGCTCGTGAGGAACCTGTACGTAGATCAAGAGGCAGTTATTTGAACAGAACAAGGGGATACTGTGTGGTTTAAAGTCAGGAAAGGTGTGTATCAGGATTGTATTCTTTTACCATATTTATTCAATCGGTATGCTGAGCAAATAATCCAAGAAGATGGACTATAGGAAGAGGAACGAGGCATCAGGATTGAAGAAGACTCATTAACGACCTGCATTATGCAGATGACACAACCTTGCTTGCAAAAAGTGAAGAGGACTTGAAGCACTTACTGATGAAGATCAAAGACTACAGCCTTCAGTATGGATTGCACCTCAACATAAAGAAAACAAAAATCCTCACAACTGGACCGATAAGCAAGATCATGATAAATGGAGAAAAGATTGAAGTTATCAAGGATTTCATTTTACTTGAATTCACAAACGACGACCATGGAAACAGTCGGCAACAAATCAAATGATGTGTTGCATTGGGAAAATCTGCTGCAAAAGACCTCTTTAAAGTGTTAAAAAGCAAAGATGTCACTTTAAGGACGCCAGACACAAGCCATGGTGTTTTCAATTGCCTCATATGCATGTGAACACTGGACAATGAATAAGGAAGATGAAAGAAGAACTGACGTCTTTGAATTGTGGTGTTGGCGAAGAATACTGAATATACCAAAAGAACTAACAAATCTGTCTGGGAAGAAGTACAGCCAGAACGTTCCTTAGAAGCGAGAATGATAAGACTCTGTCTCACACACTTTGGACATGTTATCAAGAGGGACCAGTCCCTGGATAAGGACATCATGGTTGGTAAAGCAGAGGGTCGGCAAAAAGAGGAAGACCTTCAATGATATGGATTGACACAGTGGCTGCAACAATGGGCTCAAGCATAACAACGATTGTGAAGATGGTGCAGGACCGGGCAGTGCTTCCTTCTGTTGCGCGCAAGGTTGCTGAGTCAGGAACTGACTCGGCGGCAACAAACAACAAGTGAGGAGTAATGAGTAACTCACAGAAAGCATTTAGAGCAATGCCTGCACATGGTAAGGCACTACACCTGTTAGCTATTATAATTTCCATAAGTAAAGCAATAAGCCTAATAATCATAAAAAAGTCAAATGTACATATTTGTAGGCCACTGTAAGATACGGCCACATTCAAATAAAATTATAAGGAAATTCAAAGCAATCTCATGTATCAGTGTCTCCTGGACATCCCGCCACACTTATCCATATGTCGCCAGTACTTCCATAAGACCCTTTTGTGTCTTTTTCTATGTAAAGTAAGAAGTGCAGCATAGATCAGCATCCTAAATCTACCTGTCAATAGACTCAATTCTCTAATCTAAAGTGCCTCCTGTTTTAGACTTTCAGACATTTCTATGCTTATGTATGTTAGAAAGATGACAATATGCTTCCATACCTGCTTCTGAGGATGAAAACGCATGATTTATGGTAGACACGGGAACATTGGAACATTCAAAGTACTCCACGTCTTCCTCTGGCTCACCTTTCACCTCAGGCCCGGCTAGTTTCTGACCAGAAGAAGTGGACGCCAGCTTCTCCTCATCGGTAGCATGGCCATCCCTATTTGAAATGTCGGAAATCTGGGAGATCACTGCTTCTTCATCCTGGGAAATGCAACAGGTAAGATGCTACCTTTTAAGATATTACCCGTGAGTACAGAGCTCCATTAAAAAGCCATCTACATGAGACCAAAAGGTCAACAACTACTCCAAACCAAAGACGAGAAGCTAAGACGGCAGGGAAACTAGAGTACTGAAAACAGAACCAAAATGCCATTAAAGACTGTGGACACACAGGGAAAAGTGTAACTAATGTCACCAAACGATTTGTCCAGAAATTGTCAAATGGGAACTCAATTTGCTGTGCAAACTTTCACCAAAAAAAAATATTATTTAAAAAAAAAAAGAAAAAGAAGATGCTACCTTTTTGTAGGGAAAACAATGGGGGAAAGTGATATCTCAGGAATGGAGCAAAGGGGCCTCCATGCCACCCAGATATTCAATGCAATTAACCACGGATAAGCTGGAATCTTTCAATTATAAAATTCTCTGTTTTTTAGAACCCATTTCTATAATTTAAGTGTGGGGTTTTCCTACCCTAAATTTACACACAAGCAGTTTAAGTTGTCCAAGAGAGTGGTTTTCAAAGTTTTTTGCTCATATACCTCCTACATTTTTTTTTGAAGATCCATGTACCACATTGCACCTCAAGTGACATCTAAAATTTTCTCGGCATAAGTTATATAACTGCAAAAGATGTAATTTCTGGCATATTCTAAATATTGACCTTGCTTAATGCAATCCAGTTAATCTAGTGATTTGATACCTCGTGATCCATTTAAAAAATACACGAACAAGTCCATTAATATCAGAAATTTTATATCGTTCCTTTTTCCTCTCTGAATTTATATTTCCACTCTACTTCCATCAAGAATTTATCCCAATGAAATACATCTGGGCATAAAAGTCTCTTAAAGGTCTCCCTATTACATTTCTATATAAAAAATTGAAAATATTTTAATTTTTATTGAATTTATGAACTTTAATTCTAAGACCACAAGCATCACAGTGTTAAAAATTTTTTCTTCTGGAGAGTTATCCTTACAATTACTAATGTATACATTTTTTAAAAAAAATACTGCAAGTTTTGGTAAGTACTATCAAACACAAAAGCAAATTTTTATTAAAAATGGATCTCACTGCAATCAGATGGGCCTGGGTGTTTGGTTTTTGTGTTTCCCTATCAGTTTGTGGGTTCAGCCAATGGCAAATAGTATTTATTGCTAGAAAGAAGCAGGGATTAGCATCAGTTATAGTCCCAGTTTTGATTTTTATAATTATAATCAATAGAAACCTTGTTTATATAAACAAATAGATGAAACAGGAGTTTTGTAACAGAAATATCTCTAAATTCTTTGAACCTCTTTTCAAGTTACGTACCAGAAAATTCTACCATCAAAAATTATTTTTAATGATCTATCAGCTGACAACTCAAGTCCTATTTTGTTGAAAGCAATGAATTGGAAAACCATTTGACTTAAAAAAAAAAAAAATGCTATCCAGTCATCACAGTTGATCACTTGCTTAGAACCTCCACCAATATTTCCAATCTGCCCTTTGCTTGGTGCCCCTGGAGTTTTCATACCCTGTGGTGATGCACCATAGTGAGACTTATACTGGGTGAGAAGGAACTTTAAAAAAGTGGGAAAAGGGTAATTGTGGAAGGGTTCCCTTGTCCTCAAGGTACCTTCTCAGATCATTTTAGGAAATTAAGGATCTGGAAACTGGTTCTCTTAAAGCTCAGTACTCAGACATCCAGAGGGATGTCTTCATGACCCCGAGTTTGGGGACCACTAGTCTGAGACATTCTGGTAACAGGCAGAGACTCACCTGAGAACATGGATCCAAAGCAAGAGACTGAGTTTCATATTTCTTCACCTTACAGCCACTCCTGGAACAAAAATAAACAGGTTGGTGTGGGATCCCACGGACAACTTCAGAGGCATGAGATGGAGCCAAGTAGTGGTATGTGCAGATAGAAGCCGAAGCACACAGCACCGCACAAATCATACGTCTACATAATATAATAGAGATGGAAACACCTTTTATGTCTCTGAATCTTTTGCTCCCAAGGGACAGGGGAAGCCAAGGAACTACAGCTCAGATTATTCTCTGAAAAGGCCACCTTGCTTGCTTCTGTGGATGTCAAACACCGGTCCTCTGACCCCAGTGGTTTTTAATTACACACCATCAAAAGCCTTTCAGAGAGTGGCCTCAGCATCTAGAGAGGTTGGGTTCATCTGATCCTTACTTGCTTCGCTTTGACATTCATTAGAAAAATCATCACGCTTGACCAGATTCTTTAAAAATCCTTTATTGCCCTAAAAGCCACAGGAGCCTGGTAAGACAGCTCAGTCTAGACCTGTGTGCTAACAGAGAAGAACTGTGGCCAACAGAACAGGAAAAAAAACAAAAGTATTTGCATAAACTGTTACCATTCCTCTGGAGTCACAAGATGCAAGATGAACGCCATGTACTGTGAAAAGCCCAGAACTGGGGAAAGCACAGACCACCTGTGATTTTTAGACTAGCACGTAATTTGTGATCGTAGGACTAATTCCGACTCTGTTGTTCTAACAAACTTAAAATTGTCAATGAAAATACCATGCTAACCAAATATATATATATATATATATATATATACATATAAAAAACATATATGTATATATAGTTCACAACTCTTTTTTCTTTTGTGGAAAACAGAAGACAAGCACACCGTCACCAGAATGTGCACGCCTACCAGTTTATGGTCTTCTCTCCCTAAGGTTCTTACTAAGTGCCACCCCTGCTGCCAAACAAATGGAGTTGACTCAGTTAAATTTATCCCCTGCTCAAGTCAGCAACCTTATCCTACCTCAAAAGCCAGTTATTTCCAACATTAAATAGAATAGTCCCTCAAACCACTGCTATGATGATCTCTGGATTGGGGCCAAGCCAGCACTTGGAATCGCCAAAGTGCCAAGTGACGCGTGCCAAGCCAGGGGGCGCAAGCTCTCGCACCTAAGGTGGGCTGGTCTCCACTCCTTTAGGTACAGACAATTGCAAGGCTAAGCTGACTCATGACGTGGCAAATGAAATGCAAAAAAAAAAAACAAAACAAAAAACAAAATCATCAGATCCAACTCAGAAATGGAAGCCACATGCTATGGAGAGGTGGTCTGGGTACAAGTGGGGGAGGAAGTGTGTAGACAGGCCCAGAGACAAAGAGAAACAAGGGCAAGAGTGTACTTACAACAGAAAACAGAGAAATTTCACTTGTTCAGTAGTCCTGAGGCACCAACCAAATTAGACAGGAAAGAGACAGACAGATGGAGAAAAAAATCGTGTGAAGACTGGAATATTTCTCTCTAGTCTGATAGATGTAAAGGTTGCAAAGTTCTTTCTATGAAGCGAAATACAAATTAAAAATGGCATACTCATGCATGTTTTCACTGATGAGTGAACGATTATCAGGAATCTCAACTCTTAACCAAGTAAGAGAGTGGTAGCAACATTGAGGAATACCACAAAGATTTATAGATGGAAAGTAAACTTCCAAACATGTGTAAATGCATAAAAACAATATTTAACTGCTGAATACATTTACTCTTAAATGTTTAGTCATTCAGATCACAGGCAATGCATGAATAAAAATATATCTGAATATATACCTGCTTTTATCTATTGTAAGGAGCCCTGGTGGAGCAGTGGTTAAATGCTTGGCTGCTAACCACAAGGTGGGCAGTTTGAACCCACCAACTGCTCCACGGGAGAAAGATGTGGCAGTCTGCTTCCATAAAGATTACAGCCTTGGAAATCCTATGGGGCAGTTCTGCTCTGTCCTGTAGGGTCACTGTGAGTTGGAATTGACTCAACGGCAACACGTTTAGTTCTTGGTTTATCTACTGTGTGTATCACTAAGACATTTTAAATGATTTCACATACGTTATCTCACTGAGTCCACAAAACCCCAATTATATTACAGTACCCCGTTTTACAGAAGAACCTGGGAAGTCAACTGTATGCATCTTTTTAAAATCACACAAATAAATTGTTAATGGAACTCGTAACTCTCCACTAGATTCTACCACCGCACATTTACTGGCTGTCTTTCCTACAAATGAAAGAATTTGCTGACCAAAATCAGTGTTAGACAAGATGTCTAGCATCCCTCTCTGTAGAAAGAAAAGGAAGACAAGAGTTTTGATTGCACGAGAATTAAAAAGATTAAAAAAAATTAAGAAGTTCATTCACTGAAAACAAAATAGGAGTAAAATGCCAGCAGGTGAGAGAGGTAGGATTTGGAGGAGAGCGCTTCTTGCTACTGAAAACAAAGTGCAGACTAAATCTCCCCCTCTCTAGCCCAAATTTAATCCTATCTACTCACAAGCATGAACGCCCTGTCTATGTACCCAACATACAACTAAAGGCTGCCTCCCAAGCAAGTCCTCTGCCAGGCAGAACACAAACAAAAACCAAACACACTGCTGCTGAGGCGATTCTGACTCACAGCGATCCTATAGGACAAAGTAGAACCGCCCCATAGAGTTTCTAAGGAGCGGCTGATGGATTCGAACTGCCGACCTTTTGGTTAGCAGTCATAGCTTGCTGTCGCTCTGATAGGCAGAAGCATCCCATAGTTAGGTGAGCACACACCACGGCAGCGACGTGCCGAACACATACCCCAAGTACTATCCAGACATAGCTAACTAACCTTAAAAGTCACAAGAGAGCACTTCCAGGATACCTGATTAATAATATTCTCTAACAACTGTTTAACTACTCATATATAACCAAAACTCCATGAACAGATCTAGAGCTCCTAATGACAATCCATTCCCCTAATTTACAGCTCTGGGGGATATTCTGCTGTTGTCGAACAACTGCTTCCTAGACTGTTCAACCTTCTTGGTCCTGAAACGGACACTTCTCTTTTAAACCTCTGGATATGTATGTCCCTTTCTCTCCCATATAATTCACCATGCCATCCAACAATTTTGTTATGCTGATGCTGAAAAGCATTTCCCCAGCTGATCTATACCAGTACTATACCAGCTGCTGTTGAGTCGATTCCGACTCATGGCAAACCCACGTGTGCAGAGCAGAACTGCTCCATAGGATTTTCAAGGCCGTGAGCTTTCAGAAGCAGATCGCCAGGTTTTCCTTCTGAAGCACATTTGGGTGGGTCTGAACTGACGACCTTGTAGTTAGTAACCCAGCACTTAACCATTTACGCCACCTAGGGACCTTATCTATAGTGACAACTAAAAACATGGTACATGGTACTTCTTTTCATCCTCCCTTTTCATATTTCACCGCCCATGTCACTGGCCCTTCTTTATATCTAATTTTTGGCAAAATGTCATAGGGGTACCAAGAGACATATTGTTATCTACTCGACTTAACTTTCGTGATAAGGTAACCTTTAACCCTGGGGACACAGCGGTTAAAGTGCCCGGCTGCTAACCAAAGGCTGGCAGTTCGAACCCACCAGCTGCTCCACAGGAGAAAGATGTGGCAGTCTGCTTCCTTAAAGATTACAGCCTTGGAAATCCCATGGACAGTTCTATTCCGTCCTATACGGTCGCTGTGAGTCAGAATCAACTACACAGCAATGGGTTTAACTTCGTAACAAAGTTAAAAGGAAACTTGACATGGAATAGGCCTGCACATCACTCTGAGAACCCCAGGGACCTTGCAAATAAGTGGCTCCAGATTCCTGGAGAAACAATGGGGTCGGGAGGCACACAGACAACACACAGCAGAAGACTAATTTATCAGATTTAACTGATTATTTTAAACATTCCTGATCCTTATTGGAAATTAACATCATTACTGATGGAACCAGAAACTACACAAAGAGACGTGAGTTCTCACCAATTTTAGTGGTAGGTTTGTTGCCAACAAAAATTACAGCTCTCTGTTTAAGTGGTAAGACTTCTAGGAGGCCCTTTCAGACCATTTTCCACCTGCTACTGATGCTTTTGTTGTCCTCAGGAGCCACTGAGTCAGTTCCAACTCTAGCAAACCCTACGTATAACAGAACGAAACACTGCCCAGTCCCGTGCCATCCTCACAAATGTTATTATGTTTGAGCTCATTGTTGCAGCCACTGTGTCAATCCATCTTTTTGAGGGTCTTTCTCTCTTTCGCTGACCCTCTACTTTACCAACCATGATGTCCTCCTCCAGGGACTAGTCCCTCCTACTGATGCAAGACACGCACTTTATAGGCTTGGAATTTTTGTCTTATCGGAATATGATGACTACAAGTGACACCTGAATTTTGTACATAAAGTGATTCCTGAACAGCCCAGCTAGGATTTCTGAAAACCATCAAATCTTCATCTACTTCTCTCACTCCATTTTTTTTTTTTTCTTAACAGAAAACATTACCCAGGGTGGGTGGGGGAAAGAGCCAAGGATTCATCAAAAACAAGACAGGAATCTAAAATGGAAACTTCTGATATTTCTGATTCCACATAAGAGTTAGGTAAAAAAGTGAAGACCCCAGTATAAAGTTACAAGCTTTGTGTCTGCCTTGTTGCACCTCAAAGATAAATTCAGCTCCCCAAAACCAAAAGCAGCTGGCTTCCAAACCCACAGAGAATACACAGAACACAACACCCAGCACCCATCGCCACTCACGTTATTAAACGCGACTTTGCCTTCTTGGGTGATTCTAAGATTTCATTAACGTGATTACCAGTGGTAGAACGAAAGTCGTTGCATGTTAAAGTTGTAGTTGGTTTAAAGGGATCCATGGACTCATCAAAGTTGTCTGGGTCAAAGTGATAGGAGCTCTTAGAGGAGAGGGATGGGGAGTTCTGCAGAGTGGAGTGAACCCCAAAGGGATTAAAGTTGGGGTTATCCCACTGACTAGGATCCAGCTTAGAAGATGTGTGGAGGACAGGAGTATCTTCTGCTTTGATGTCTGCAGGCTGTTCTACACCTTTGCCACCTACTGGTTTACTGATGCCATCTTTCTGTGCCTTGGGAGTCAGTTTGTTCCCCAGTTTCCTGCCAAGTTTCCTTGGAAGAGCTTTCTTGGCCTCTACATTTTCCACATCTTCTGTGAAGTCAAACTCAAGTTTCAGAGGTGAGCTCCTTGACTCTTCCAGCAGTTCAACCCCCGAGTCATTGGTGTCACTGCTGGGAGTGCTTGATGTTTCTTTGACCTCAGTGGGAGGTTTCTGGATCCTAGCACCTCCGATCAAAGAAGAATATGTGTTCTCATCCAATTCATCAAGACTGACCTGATAGGGTGCTTTGGGGAGAGGGGTACCCTCCACCATAGTCTCAGTTTCTGAGAACTCTCCGCTAATTGTTTTCTTCCTCTGAGACACAGGCTTGGGCTTTCTTAGCTTGCTTCTGCTGGGTACTGATTCTGAACAGGAGTTTAGAGTCTTTACATCAGTTTCTGTGGAAGCCTCAAGTGTAACCCCCATGTTGCCTTCTGTCATTGCCTTGTCCTGGATGGCTTCTGGTGCTCTGGAGAGCAAAGCCTCCTCCAAGACTGCAGTTACAAAGCCATGAGCTGTTTTTGTTCCAAGAGCTGCTGGGACATCTGTGGAATTCTTGGTTTCAATTGAAAATGGCCTCACTATGGAAATTTTGCTAGTATCATGTTCAGGTTCTTCTTTGAAATCCTTGACAGAATGAGAAGCAATGGCCTGCTGTGGGACCTCATTTTCTGAGGGTCTAGGGCAAGTCTCAGATGAATATTTTTCAACCACTTCTGCTACCAACTGTTCATCATCTTCTTGTGATTCTAAAACAAAACACAAAAGCCTATTAAAGAATTATCTTTTTGACACTGGTGACTATTCTCTACTACCTGAATTCACATATACAAACTATAAGCTCTCCCTTCTTTGTTTTTATTATTTCTAATGTACAGCACAGCAGGCCCTGGGTGGTACAAACAGTTAACACGCTTGGCTGCTAACTGAAAGGTTGGTGGTTTGAGCCTACCCAGAGGCGCTTCAGGAGAAGGGCCTGCAATCAACTTCCAAAAAATCAGCCACTAAAAACCCTATGGAGTACAGTTCTACTCTGACATTCAGTGGAGTCGCCATGAGTCAGAACTGACTCAGTGGCAGCCAGTTTGGTTAACATTCAGCAAGGATGATGGCACAACCTCAAAGAGGTAATGAAGTCACTCCTGAAGTTCACCCTCCACTCAAAGATCAGACAGGCCTATAAAACAAAATGAGACTAAATGAGCACACCAGCCTGGGGGCAAGGACGAGAAGGCAGGAGGGGACAGGAAAGCTGGTAATGGGGAACACAAGGTTGAGAAGGGGAGACTGCTGACATATTGTGGGGCTGGCAACCAATGTTGCAAAACAGTATGTATATTAATTAACGAGAAACTAGTTTGCTCTATAAACCTTCACTGAAAGTACAATAGAAAAATTTTTTTAAATAAATAAAAATTTCCTGCCTCAACTGGTATATGGTTCATTATCCAAGTGATACAAATAATAATTATAACAAATAGAGTTATCTAGGAAAAGACTAAATAGATCAACAGTCTACTGCAAAATATATTAATATGATGTCAAAATTTCATAGGTTAAAGTTGGTCTGGAGGAATCTTTAGACACCAACTGTTTGATGCTTTCAGGGTCAGAATTTCAGGCACTAAACAGACTTGAAATAATTTATTTTTGTTGTTGCTGTTGAAAAGATACACAGAATATACACCAATTCAACAGTGTCTACATATGCAATTCAGTGATACTGATTATTCCTTGATTTGTGCAACTTTCTCATCTTCCTTTTCTGAGTTGTTCCTTAACATAAACTCACTGCCCCCTATGTCTCCTATCTAATGTTTTGAGTTGCTGTGGTCCATTTGATCCTATATAGACAGATTTAAAAGAGTGCAGTGCTCCAAGGCAGCCATTCTTTACTAGTTAAGCTAAACTACTGTTTGGTTTTAAAAAGACTTGAGTGGGAATTTTTGGTTTAAGGTTTAAAGATTATCGTACAGCAACAGTTTCACGGATTCATCAGCCTCCATGGCTCCAGAAAGTCTAGATTCCATGACAATTTTAAATTCTTTTCTGCATTTACCCCCTTTTGATCAGGATTCTTCTACAGAATCTTTGATCAAAACATTCAGTTTTGTTAGTTGGGCACCATGCAGTTCTGTGAAGTTAAGTTTTTGACTGGAAGTTAAAAATACAAGTATCCCCTATGCCACAGAAGATAATTTAAATGATTAGACTGTTTCAAAATTAAATGGAAAAACCACCATGGCCAGCTCAGAATCAACTCTCTATAGACCTAAAAATTAACCCAAATTAAAAAAAAAAAATTAATTTGAAAAAGCAGATCCAGAAATGGTCTTAAAAGCAAACAGCTGTTATTTTACTTGGACATAAAACAATAAACAGTTATTTTTTCTTTAGGACCTCTGTCTCTAAATTGGGCCAGGAAAACACACTGATTATCTTCTCTCCATCACTTGTGAAAAGTAAAAAATCCCTTTTAATTGGGGCCTTACTAGGAGAAATGCTGCAAATATTAAAAACCAAACCCACTGCCGTTGAGTCTATTCTGACTGATTCATAGCGACCCTATAGGACAGAGTAGAACTGCCCCATAACGGTTTCCAAAGAGCGCTTGGCGGATTCGAACTGTCAACCTTTTGGTTAGCAGCCGTAGCACTTAATTGCTACGCCACCAAGGTTTCCCTGCAAATATAAGAAGGTGTAAATGAGAGGATTTCTTTAAAGCATGAAGATAATGCTTCCCTGACTTAAAATATCTGAAATAACAATAGAATAGCAGCAAAAACTGAGTAAAGTGGTTTTTATCATAGTATCTCAAGATTTAAAAGGGAATTCAGAGATGACCTGGTCTACCCTTCTAATCCTACTTCCTAATCCTAATCCAGGATTAAAGTGCCAGGCATCACTGGAACAGTTTTTAAAAGCATTCACATATCTTTTCACATGACTCCTTTATGACTGGAATTGGGCAGTGGCTTACAAACTATATTTTGCAGACACTTCAGATGGTCTACAAATGTCCAATTCAAGTTGTTTTTAAATATATGTTTAACTGTTGTATTAAAAGAAGTATAATTTTTTAGTGTGGTAAACACATATGTAACAAAGCATTTGCCATTTCAGTACATAATTTTTTAAAAGTTCTCAATGTATGATACCTGTGACTTACTTTAACTTACTTCAAAAGGATATGAGAGAGAAAGATAAACTAAAAGTAGGAAAATCTTGATAACTGTTGCATGGGGGATGGGTATATGGGAGTTTCCATTGTACTATTTTCTCTTGTGTATAGTCTTGAAACTTTTAATGATAAAAACTGAAAAAACTCAACTGCATTATGCACAGAATTTTAACAAGAACTTTAATTTTATTTTGCTGTTGTTGAGAATATACACAGCAAAACATACACCATTTCAGCCATTTCTACATGTACGATTCAGTGGCACTGATTACATTCTTCGAGTTGTACGACCATTCTCACCCTCCTTTTCTGAGTTGCTCTCTCCAATAACAGAAACTCACTGCCCTCTAAAGTTCCTACCTAATCTTTTCTGTTGCTGTTGTCACTTTGATCCCATATGGTTGAAACAAGAACATTTTTAAGTGTACTGACAACGCGTGTATGTGTGTACGTGTATGCAGATTCTCCTATAATCTCTCTTCATATATATGGACTTCCTATGAATGTTATGGAAACCCTGGTGTCGTAGTGGTTAAGTGCTACAGCTGCTAACCAAAAGGTCAGCAGTTTGAATCCACCAGGCGCCCCTAGGAAACTCTATGGGGCAGTTCTACTCTGTCCTATAGGGTCGCTATGAGTCAGAATTGACTCAACAGCAACAGTTTTTTTTTTTTTTAAAATGAATGTTATTGTTTCTGTGTGCTAAATTCAGGGAAGGGGGATAGGGTGACAAACGACACAGCATCAAACACAGCTGCAAAATATCTGTGTGTGTATGTGTAACAAGCTCAGCTAAGAGCCAGGCAAGGTCTGGGCACATTTGCACAGTGCCTGCTCGTACCCCAGCATGAGCCAGTTGGGCAAAAGGGAATCTGGATAATATCACAGTGCATAGAATTATCACCTACTTTAAGTTTTGGTGCTTCCTGTCAGATTTTACATTCAATATGAAAAAGAGGAATTTTGTCTTGAAAAACAGAATATTTAATACAGATTAGCCACTAAGGTATCTGAGAGTTCTTAAACTGACATTGTTAAACATCTCAATGTTCTATTTTCTACTGAAAAGCTTTAAACTCACGAGGTACCACTTTATCTACTTTCTCTATATTTTACATCTACAAATTAAGAAGTTAGATTACTTGCTAAAGATTGTTAGTAACTCAACTATGAAACATAAATTTCCCTCTGCTCCTCTTTGAGGCCATCAGAATAGTAGTTTAATTCAAGCATATTCTCAAGTGCTAGGCAAAACCTTTTAAAGACTTATCATTTGCAACTATCGGCTTGTGGAAATCAAGATTCTCTCAATAACATATAACCGAAATACTCCTAAAATGAGCTAGATTTTAATTAGACTCTGATTTAATTATTTTGTATTTTTCAATCTCCTAAATCCCATTTAAAAAAAAAAAAGATTACTGTTTTGAATCTTTGCAACTATAAATCTTTACAACTGCTATATATTAGGGTGTGCACAATATTTTCTCTGTGAAAAAGCTCCTCTGCCTAAGGAATTTGAAAACTAAAGCTAAAGGGAAAGTTTATCTCTAAAAATAGTGATATGAAATATTTAGGAATGAATTGGCCTTCTAGAAACTGATACACATGACCTTTTAAAGAGAACTTCAGCACCCCTCAGGGGTCCGTGGGTGGTCAAATGGTGAACATGCTCGGCTGCTACCCTAAAGGTTGGAGGTTCGAGTCCACCCAGAGGCACCCTGGAAGAAAGGCCTGGCAAACTATTTCCGAAAAACCAGCCACTGACAACCCTATAGAACACAGTTCTACTCTGACACACATGGGGTCGCCGTGAGTTGGACTCAACTTGCTGGTAACTGGTTTGTTTGTTTTTTTTGGTCAGTTTTACTACAGGTGATCCCACTGCATGCGACAGATCTTTAGGCAACTATAAGGGGGGGCTGTGCTATTTTAAAGTCTTTAACCTGGTGCCCAGCAAGAGCAGGAGGCATGGCACAGCCGGAAGAGCCACTCTCTCCATTCCACTCTTTCCCAACAAGGCAAGGAACTGCCATGAGCCTCCCTGCCTCCATCTATAAAACTGGCTTATATTAAGAGAATAAGTGGTATACAACATGTGGTAGCCATTCAATAAAGGTATTTGTTTCCCATCCCTTTAATGCTCCACTCAATAAATTTTTCTTTAAGTCATCCTTCTACAAATGCAAATGGAGAATGTGCAACCTAAATAAATCATACTGGATTTGGCAAAATAAACTCCCCACATCTAAAATACTGGTATAAATCATATGTTGGATTTGCTTAAAGTAATATTTGTTGTTGTTGTTCAATACCGTTGAGTTGGTTCCAACTCATAGCGATCCCATGTGACAGAGCAGAACTGCCCTGAAGAGTTGTTTAGCCAATGTCACAAAACAGTATGTGTATGAAGGAAAAAGGTGGGGTGCAGAACTCAAATTCTAGTAAGACCAGACTAATGGTCTGAGACTGGAGGAACCTTGGAAAGTACGGCCCCCGGATTCTCTATGAGTCCAGAACTAAAACAATTTCCGAGGCCAACTCTTCAGACAGGGATCAGACTGGACT